GCAAGCAGGTGCAGCCACTCTGGAAAACAGTATGGAGGTTCCTCAAAAAGTTGAAAATAGAGCTACCCTACAACCTAGCAATTGCACTACTGGGTATTTACCCCAAAGATACAAATGGAGTGATCCGAAGGGGCACGTGCACCCCAATGTTTATAGCAGCAATGTCCACAATAGCCAAACTATGGAAAGAGCCTAGATGTCCATCGACAGATGAATGGATAAAGAAGATGTGATATACACACACACACACACACACACACACACACACACACACACACACACAATGGAATATTATGCAGCCATCAAAAAAATGAAATCTTGCCATTTGCAATGACGTGGATGGAACTAGAGGATATTATGCTAAGAGAAATAAGTCAATCAGAGAAAGATAAGTATCATATGATCTCACTGATATGAGGAATTTGAGAAACAAGACAGAGAATCATAGGGGAAGGGAGGGAAAAATAAACAAGATGAAACCAGAGAGGGAGACAAACCATAAGAGACTCTTAATCTCAGGAAACAAACTGAGGGTTGCTGGAGTGGAGGGGGGTGGGAGGGATGGGGTGGCTGGGTGACGGACATTGCAGAGGATAGGTACTATGGTGAGCACTGTGAATTGTGTAAGACTGATGAATCACAGACCTGTACCCCTGAAACAAAAAATACATTATATGTTAATAAAAAAAATTTTTAAATAAATAAATATAAGAACTGAAACCATAAATCTCCTAGAAGAAAACATAGAGAAAATTCTTCTTGACATTGATCTTGGCAATTATTTTTTCTGGATAAGACACAAGTAATAACAACAACAACACAAAACACAGTAAAAAAGCACAAGTAATAAAAACAACAAAATTAGTAAATGGGACTGCATCAAATCAAAAAGCTCTGCACAGCAAGAGAAAAAACCAATAAAATGAAAAGGTACCTTACAGAATGGAAGAAAACATTTGCAAATCATATATCTGATAAGGATTAATATCCAAAATATTTAAAGAACTCATATAACCCCAATAGTAAAAAAACAAACTATGGAGAGAGGAACTGAATAGACATTTTTCCAAAGACGTCTTTTCCAAAGACGACATACAAATAGCCACAAGTGTATGAAAAGATGCTCAAAATCACTAATCATCAGGAAATGCAGATCAAAACCACAAGGTACCATTTCACATCTGTTAGAATAGCTATCATCAAAAAGACAAGAGATAACAAATGTTGACGAGGATGTGGAACAAAGGAAACCCTTGCACACTGTTGGTGGGAATGGAAATTCGTTCAGTCACTGTGGAAAACACTATGGGGGTTCATCAAACAATTAAAAATAGGAGCCTGGGTGGCTCAGTCGGTTAAGTGTCTGACTCTTGATTTTGGCTCAGGTCATGATCTCAGGGTCCTGAGATCAAGAGCCGAGTCTGACTCCACGCTCAGTGGGGAATCTGTTTGAGATTCCCTCCCTGTGCCCCTCTCAACACCCAGCTCTCTTTCTCTCTGTCTCCTGCTCCCTCCCTAAAAATAAATAAATAAATCTTTTTAAAAAATTAAAAATAGAACTACTATATAATCCAGCAATCCCTTTCTGGGTGTATCTCCAAAGGAAATGAAAATAAGTTCTCAAAGAGATATCTGCTCTCCCGTGTTCATTGCAGCATTATTCACGATAGCCAAGATATGTAAACAGTATCTACCAATGAATGAATGTATAAAGAATATGTGGTGTGTGTGTGTATATATATATATATATATACACACACACACATATACACATATATATGTGTACATATATATACATATATATACACACACATATATACATATATATACATATATATAGTGGAATATATATTCCACTATATATACATATACATATATATACATATATGTGTGTATATATATTCCACTATATATATATAGTGTGTATATATATATTCCATATATATATATATATATTCCACTATATAGTGGAATATATATATACATATATATGTATATACATATATATACATATATACATATATATACATATATGTGTGAACTATATATATATACATATATATACATATGTGTGTATATATAGTGGAATATTATTCAGCCATGAGAAAGAAGGAAATCCTGCCATTTGCAATAACATGGATGGACCTTGATGGGCATGATGCTAAGTGAAATAAGTCAGACAAATACTGTATGATATCACTTACATGTGGAATCTAAGAAAGCTGAATTCATAGAAACAGAGAGTAGAGTGGTGGTTACCAGGGGCTAGAGGGGAAGTGGAAGGAGATGGAGAGATGTCGGTCAAAGGGTACACACTCCCAGTTATAAGATGAATAAGTTCTAGGGATCTCATGTACGTCATGGTGATTATAGTTAATAATACTGTAGTATATACTTGAAAGTTGCTAAGTGAGTAAATCTTAAGTGCTCTTACCACAAAAAAGAAGTGGCAACTATGTGACATGATAGAGGTATTAGCTAACATTATGATGGTAATAATTTTGCAATATATTAGTGTATAAAATCAACACATTTGTACACCTTATGCTTACATAATGTTATCTGTCAATTATGTTTCAATAACCTGGGGAAAAAAGTTTGCACTCAAAAATTAATTAATTACCTAGCCTTTGATTAAATCTATTTAGTTGTATATATGATATGACATCTGAATGCTTTATTTTTTTTTTAGGTTTTTATTTAAATTCCAGTTAGTTAACATACAGTGTATTGTTAGTTTCAGGTGTACAATTTAGTGATTCAACACTTACATACAACACCAGGTGCTCATCACAACGCATGTACTCCTTCATCCCAATCACCTATTTAACCTATTCCTATCCACCTCCCCTCTAGTAACTATCTGTTTGTTCTCTATAGTTAAGAAGAGCCTGTTTCTTGGTTTGCTGCTCTCTTTTTTTCCCCATGATGGTTTGTTTTGTTTCTTAAATTCCACATATGAATGAAATCATATGGTATTTGTCTTTCTCTGACTGACGTACTTAGCTTAGTATAATACTCTATTTCTAGCTCCATCCACGTCATTGCAAATGGCAAGATTTCATTCTTTTTTATGGCTGAGTAATATTCCATTATATACATACACCACATCTTCTTTATCCATTCATCAGTTGATGAACATTTGGGCCCTTTCCATAATTTGGTTACTGTTGATAATGCTGCTATAACAGGGTGCATGTATCCCTTCAAATTAGAATGCTTTAGACGGAAATGAGAGGTCGTATTAGGCTGGAACACTTAGTACTATTCTATAATTAGTCAGTAATTTATAATGGAGTAGTTGTTAAATGAATACTGGCTATATAATCTTGCCAAGAGTAACTTGGCTTTATCAAAATTTAACCTCAATTTTTATACATAATGATGTTAAATCTTATTTTGAAACTTGAGTAAATGTATTATCTGTATGCACACCAGTATTACTATTGACATCTTTTTAAAAAATGTTTTGAACTCTTTATCTAATAATGAGGCCAAAAAAACTTAGATCCAAGTCATGTGTGCTCTGACATTAATGTCAGAGATGTCTTTCTAAGTTTTTCAATACCTTCGAGGATAAATATAAACCCCTTAGCTATTCAAGATTTAACTGTGATCTACATCACTAGGCTTATCTGTGTCGTACTCTCAGGTGTGCTCTTTATTCTAGCCATAAGAGAATTCCAGCAGTTCCTAAAATGCACCGTACAATTGTTGCTTTCCAGTTTGCTAAAGGCTAGTTTCTCTATCCAAATGACTGTTTCCTTTTCATTCTTCATAAAGATATTTTCTAGCCTTCTGGTCAACTATCCCTTCTCCCAGGAAGCCATCCCTAACTCTTGTTTATTATAGATACTCCTCTTCTGTGTGCCCACAACAGAAACTGAGCCCACTTCTGTTACATCTATTAATCTCAACTGTTACAATTGGCTTACTTACTAGAAGCTCAAAATTAGAGGTTATATCTTATTTATACCAAACATAATATGGTTCCTGGATCTTAATAGGCACTCAATAATTGTATTTGCTTGATTGAATTAACAAAATATCGGTAATTTACTATAACTCAAACAAAATTAATTAATTTATTTTTTTAAAGATTTTATTTATTTATTTGACAGAAAGAGAGATAGGGAGAGCAGGAACCCAAGCAGGGGGAGTGGGAGAAGCAGTCTCCCCGCTGAGCAGGGAGCCTGATGTGGCACTCGATCCCAGGACCCTGGGATCATGACCTGAGCTGAAGGCAGACGCTTAATGACTGAGCCACCCAGGCGCCCCTCAAACAAAATTAATTTTTTAGAATTATACTAATTGATTTGCTATGCGGGTTATAAAGCAATAATGAAAGGTATCTATTGATATTAAGCAGGGAAAAGAAAAGAAAAGAATGAAATTTATCTGGGAAACACTCCATCAACAAGAACATAATTTACAAATTATTTACTCTTCTTGAACTTATCTTAAAATTGATGCAGAACAAATTATTTGCTTTGATCACTACTACCTTGCAATTGGTCAAGAAGCACAACAGCTATACGGTGCTGGGCTTGAATTAGTTCAAGATGCAAATCCATCATGAAAGAATTTGGTGTGACTGGTTTGCAAATGTCTCCATCTATGTCCTGGGTGTACTTTGGTAGGATTGAAGCAAAAATAAAAAAAGAAATACAGTTATCAAAACATACTAAAAATAGCTCTATCCTATTACCACTCAAGTTATCATTTTACTCTACGCCATTAAATTCTGCTCATTTCTCAACTCTTTGCAATCTGGTTCACATGCTAATAAACCTGCTTTTCAAGTTCACCAGTGGCCTCTTCAGTAACAAATTTAAAGACTCCTCGCTCTCCTTGATTTCTTTTGGGAAGAGGGGAATAGATTTCTGGCCTATTAAAATGAGGCCACCACAAATCACGCTTTGCTCACCTACTTGCAAATCCAGCCCTCTTCCTAGCTAAGTAACAAACACTTCAATTTCATGTAAGAGTTTCCCATTTACCTTGGCATAGCAATGGTCAATCACTGATGATCCATTTGGCAAAGTAGTTAACATGCAATTCAAATTTATTCCATCGATTGCTTTGTCAAGAAGTTCATAAGCCAAAAATAACTGTTCCACAGGTTTCTTCTAAAGTAATTTTATAAACAAAACAGAAAAATAACACATAAGGAAAAATCACATACAACATTTTCAAACTTCTTCCAATAATAATTCAAACCAAGTAATAAATTTAAATAGTCTATCCAATATCAACAATGTTATATTTTTTACTAAGTGTATTTGTCTTTTTTTTTAAGATTTTATTTATTTATTTGACAGAGAAAGAGATAGCGAGAGAAGGAACACAAGCAGGGGGAGTGGAGGAGAAGCAGGCTTCCCGCAGAGCAGGGAGCCTGATGTGGGACTTGATCCCAGGACACTGGGATTATGACCTGAGCCGAAGCAGACGCTTAACGACTGAGCCACCCAGGCACCCAGTGTATTTGTCTTTGATTAAATGTGCAGTACTACTGATAAAAGTGAAATAATAAATACAATTCATCATTTTTCCAAATATAAATTAAGCTTTTCATAAACTTATATATATCTTCCTTTTGTGGTTTTCAAAATTCTGACTGTACCAAATGTATAGGTAAATTTTTAAAATACAACCCTCATAATTTGTCATTTTCACACACTTCATTTTGAAAGTTAATTTTTTTTTTTAAATCTCAGAGCTGGAAATTTAGATGTAGAGGCCATCAAATCCAATGGCGTATATCATGATTTTCAAAAACTAAATATGTTTACATTCTAATTATTCTCATAGAGAGACAAATACAGAGAATAATATAACGAGCATCTGGCTTTGTTCAAACTTTCAAATTTCACATATTTCTCCAGAAAATTTTTAGGAAATAAAGCAAACACATACATGCAGATAATTGAAATCCTCTATAGAACTGTCCACATGACAATCTTTTTCTCTGCTCCTAAAGGAAGCCACTGTGCTTTGGTTTTTACCATTATTTGGTATGTTTTAAAACTTTACCACATGTGTATCTATTAACAATATGCAATATTGCTTGCCTACTTTTTAATTGTCAGAAAATTTTGCAGTTCACTTTATACGCTCAAACATATGTTGTTGCAATTTTTTCATGCTGGTGTATGTAACTCAACGTGTCGAGTTTGGTTAGGAACACAGAACAACTGGAGATACTCTCAAGCAGAAAGGGATTGGATACACAGAATTAGAGGCGTCTATCACTGTTGGAAGGCCTGGGGGGACAAAGGCCAAGGAAGCTGCCAGTGACAATTTGGCTGCATGCACGAGCCTCTGTGAATCTAAGAATCAAGGAGCAGCTGAAAACAGCTGCGAGTGTCTGTCACACCACGAGCGCCAAGTGAATTGCAAGAGCTTGCCCAGCACCTCTGGTAAACAAACTTCTTCCATCTGCCGCTGCCAAGTAAGAACTCTGTCTTCCCTTCATTATACATTCCTGCAAATGCCCCTCATTGGAAGACTAACCTAGAAGCACGCAGAAATGAGATGCTGGGAAATGCAGTTCCAGCTTTTCCCCTGTGACAAAAGAAGGTGACTAAAGAAGGGAAGGGTAAGGATGCCAAGCTGACTCTAGTTCAAGCCCACACTAATTCATTCATCCTCACGACCACAATGAAATGGTGTGATGCTGAGGAACATGTCACAATATATTTACCCACTCTTCTACCGATGGGCATTTAGATTGCTATTACTAAAAATGTGTAATGCATTGTACTAGTCTGTGGATCGAGACAAGGCTGGTATTTGCTTTACAGTCCTTATGCCTTTTTTATCTGCTTTCTTTCTCAGCTGACTATCTAAGATCTCTAGGACATGTTGAACAAAAGAATGACAGATATCCTATGTCGTTATCTCAGTATAAAGGGATTGCTTTTAATCTTTTACTATAGGTGTAACATTCATTACAGGTCTTTGAATGATACCCTTTATGGGAAAAAAAGTTCTCCTCTATTCCTGACTTAAGAGTTATTTTTTGGGCGCCTGGGTGGCTCAGTCATTAAGCATCTGCCTTCGGCTCAGGTCATGATCCCAGGGTCCTGGGATCAAGTCCCACGTCGGGCTCCCTGCTCAGCGGGGAGCCTGCTTCTCCCTCTCCCACTCCCCCTGCTTGTGTTCCTGCTCTCCCTCTCTCTCTCTCTGTCAAATAAACAAATAAAATCTTTTAAAAAAAAGAGTTATTTTTTAAAGATGGCTGTTGAATTTTGTCAACTGCTCTTGTTGCATCTTTTTATCTAGTGAGGTAGTCGTATTTCTTCCTATCGTCTGCTAATGTGGCGTATTGCATTATATTTTCTAATGTTAAATCACCCTTGCATTCCTGGAATATACACAATTTGATTACACACATCCATTCAAAGATATATAGATATATATCTCCATTCAAGAATCACAGGCCCAGGGAGGTTCTCATGCAACTCAAGTAATGTAAATTCAAAAAACAGACCTACGTGAAGGCAGGCCCAGGATTATAAATCATTAGGAAGAAAGACTCTCTCCCACCCACCCACCTCCTGTACCCATGTGGAGATACCTCCCCATACAAATAGGTAGACTGGTTTTCTTCTGGTCTCCCTTCTCTAGAATGTGGTCTTTTGGAGGTCATAATTTTAATGTGTAAGTCTCAGTTCCAAACCCCCATCTTTCATGTGCCCAAGCTTCATATCTTGTCACTGAATGGCTGTTAATCTGAACTTTTTTATAACTGAGCCCATCAACCAACTGCAGCATCTACTCATAAAATGACCGTTCTAGTTTTCAGTTCCCCTTTCTGGGCCCCTGGAATTTATCTTACTTTCTTGTGAGCTCCACAATGTGCTTGAGGATATTTGTTCAATTCTGCCCAAAATTTCTAGGTGCTTTGTAGCAACAGGGTTTTCAGCTCACCCAGTTTGCCCTTTTTCCAGAAATAGAAGTCTCTAAGGATGCCTTTTTAACACCAAAAAATTTCAAAGACCCTCCTCCACGCACACCTACATTCTAACATCAACATCATCACCATCACTATCACTTTTGTTATCTTTGTCATGATCATAGCTAACATTTAATTAAACTATGTTCCAGATACTGGGCTAAACGCTTTACATGGACTAATTTTTTAATTACCATTATCCTATGAGGTAGATACATACTAATTATTGTAATTTTACAATACATTTATTGAAAGAACTAGCTGCTATGTATTCAGTAAAATTTTAATAAGCTTTGAATGTGATCACAATAAACATCTCATTTTTTAAATAGTTGCATGTATATATGCAAGATATACAATTTATCCCACCTACAATCTCTGATAGGTGAGCATACAGATTTTGGATTCTCCTTACAATAAATTCTCACTTCTCTCCACTTCACTCCCCTCCAGATGGGTCTGAGACCCTAAGTTAAGATTCAGTGCTCTACATAAAACAGAAGAGAAAAACTGAGTAGCTACCATGTGCCAGGTACTGGTTTCTGCAACATTACCAATACCTCATTTAAACTATATAACTTAAATAATACCAGTAGAATTGGTTCTATTGTTATAATTTCATAGATGAGGATACTTATATTCAAACAGATGAAATAATTTGCTCAAGATCACACAGTCAATTTAGAGCCAAGATTCAACTCTGGGAAAGGGAAACCCTCCTACACTGTTGGTGGGAACGCAAGTTGGTGCAGCCACTCTGGAAAACAGTATGGAGGTTCCTCAAAAAGTTGAAAATAGAGCTACCCTATGACCCAGCAATTGCATTACTGGGTATTTACCCCAAAGATACAAATGGAGTGATCCGAAGGGGTACATGCACCCCAATGTTTATAGCAGCAATGTCCACAATAGCCAAACTATGGAAAGAGCCAAGATGTCCATCAACAGATGAATGGATAAAGAAGATATGGTGTATATATATATAATGGAATATTATGCAGCCATCAAAAAAAATCTTGCCATTTGCCACAACGTGGATGGAACTAGAGGGTATTATGCTAAGCGAAATAAGTCAATCAGAGAAAGACATGTATCATATGATCTCACTGATATGAGGAATTCTTAATTTCAGGAAACAAACTGAGGGTTGCTGGAGTGGTGGGGGGTGGGATGGATGGGGTGGCTGTGTGATAGACATTGGGGAGGGTATGTGCTATGGTAAGCACTGTGAATTGTGTAGGACTGATGAATCACAGACCTGTACCTCTGAAACATATAATACATTATATGTTAAAATAAAAAAAAAAAGGAGATAGTAGGAAGGGAAAAATGAAGGGGGGGAAATCGGAGGGGGAGACGAACCATGAGAGACTATGGACTCTGAGAAACAAACTGAGGGTTCTAGAGGGGAGGGGTTGGGGGGATGGGTTAGCCCAGTTATGGAATTAAAGAGGGCACGTATTGAATGGAGCACTGTGTGTTATACGCAAACAACGAATCATGGAACACTACATCAAAAACTAATGATGTATGGTGATTAACATAACATAATAAAATAAAATTTAAAAAAATTTTAGTATCTGGTGAATCCTTAGGTCACACCAACAAACCATCTGTACTACATATACCATATGCCACAGTACAGCTGGGCAGGTTGCCTATCGCACAATTTTAGGGGGTGCCATTCATGCTGTTATCGTCATAGACTTGTATATTTATTTTGGCAATTACCCAGCAAATGGCAATAAATCATATCAAGGAAAGGGTACATTTTTCTAATTTAAATAAGAGTAGCAATAGTTCATAAACGGTCTTCAGCTTCATTTGGGAAAACTGCCACCTTCTATGAAACTCATTTTATTTAGTGGCTTTAACTGCCAGAAATTTTCCACCTGAAGCTAAAATCTAGCACTTTGTAACTTCTATTACTATTCTTATTCCTGCCCTATGAAGCCTCAGAGAATAAGTGCTGGCCCACTAAGCCAGTGATTCTGAAATTCTAGTTTCCTTAAGAATCTATCTGGGGAGGGTGCCTGGGTGGCTCAGTCGGTTAAGCATCTGCCTTGGGCTCAGATCATGATCCTGGGGTCTTGGGATCAAGCCCCACGCAGGGAACCTGCTTCTCCCTCTCCCTCTGCCGCTCCCCCTGCTTGTTCTCGCTCTCTCTCAAAT